GATTCAACAGCTGCGATGGGGCTGACCTCTCCCATCCTTCTGCCCACGGGTTCCTATCTATATCTAAGGTCCATACATATCATGCACTGCTACTCTACACATCCGCATGCCTGTGTCCTCTCACCCGCTTGCATCCATCAGTCCACACTGACTTACCTCCTTCATGTTGCTGAGTCGCCAGATTCAGACTGCCCGTCTCCTCTTATATCTATGATACCCGTCTCTCTTCCGGCTACTCTTCGCTTGAAAACCTCACATCAGAAGGCTCCAACGATCTGTCCGCAGCCTCTCTGCCTTGCAGGCGTGCTTACTTTCAGTCCTCAGCCAGTTATCGATTTGATATCCTGCAGAAGAAGGTTGTGGCTCGCCCATCTTGTCTGAGTGTTATTCGTGGAAGTCGGTGTTTTGCAAGCATTCAGACTGTGTGCTGTGGTGGAAGGGGTCTGCTGGCTTGCAGGTAAGGGTTTGAAGTGGCGCAAAGGATGGTACAGTAGCTGTGCAGACGAGGAGAGGAGGATGGGTGAGCATTGTGCGCTTGTCAGGTGCTACCAACTTTCCTGGTTTCCGACTCTGTAAGGCCCGGCTCAGGCGACGACTTTGTCGGTGTCAGGATGGAAGCTGCAACTTTGTAAGCTTGGTTCATATCCAAGAATGTCGTCAGCGAATAAATGGAAGGGCGGGCTCAGGCTGCCAACAGCCCGCACTCATAGTGTATAGCCGTATTGACCAATCAGGTTCTGTGCTGTGCATCCTGATTGCGGTGTCAGTGTGTGCGATGGTGGCATTGGATAGTGAAAGCGAGTGCCGTCATTCACGATGGGACTTTTTTTTTTTTTTTTACTTGTTGCAGTAATAAATTTCATTTGGGAGGAATTGGGACAATGTTAAGGTCATTTTTGAATTCTCGCCGTTTGGACGGTTGACATTTATGTCATCTTCTTCTTCTTCTTCTTCTTCTTTTATTCTTGTGATTTATTTCAACTTATTCATTGAGGTATTTTAATCGCTTGCCTAGGCTGAGCCATCCACCTGTGAATGTGAAAATGAGACACAGCATGCGGAGAGACTGAAGGGCTGGCAAAGGGGGAAACGATGGGAGAATTCCGTTTCTAAGTGCAATATTACCCTGGTAGGTGTCATCTCTTCTGATACAATGGCCTTCCCAATTTTCTGCACACCTTGCTTTGCATCGGCAGAGCTGCGTTTCAACTTTCAATTGGTCAGCCTGGTTCAAAAATGGCCAAACCTGACTTCAGAGCACTTCATCGGTGCACTAGTGGTATGATGCTTTTGCTCGTCTCTGGCCTCAAACCTCCCGATGTGGGGATATCTGTTATGTGATAGCTTGCCTGGATACGGAAACGTATTTTCTACAATGAAGAGGGTGTGTGCAGTGGATGCTTTTGTTTTGAGAGACTTCGGATCCCCTATAGGAAGAAGAATCCGGAATCCTGGCCTAAATCCATAATGGCGAGGCTCAAAACGGGCTTCCCATTTGGGTTCTAGATCCATTTTCGCTAATGCCTGTTTAGCTGTAGAAAGCGTAACCTTCTCTCTTCTCTCCGCTATGGAAACTTAGCGGTGATAAACGAGCTCAAAACGGTGAGGGCGGAAATTACAAGGTCCAGTTCATGCTGTGGTAAGAACTTATTCTGAAATCAAACGTGCTTTACTTCTTTTATATCAATATAAAATTCTAGGCTACCAACCGGGCCGCCCGAGTCCCGGGTGGCCAGCCCGTGCAAGGAAAAACGTGCAAAAAAAAAAAAAAAAAAAAAAACAAATCCAAAAAATCCGAAAAAAAAACTATGTTATGCAGAAAAATAAACTGAACAGCTTTTGCCTCAGGGTCTTATCAAAATTCTTCACCTAATTTAGAATAAAAAATAAAATTAAAAAATATTATTTTTATTTTTATTTTTTTTGGCCCGGCCGGGCAAGTGACCCCGGGCCACTCTGGTAGCCTAAAGTTGTTTGCCAGATGCTTTGCGGGTTGCATTTTACAACGCCACTTTAACTACGCCACAGATGGAACGGAGGAAACGGGATTTGAATTTTGAACCCATGATACAGTCTTGTTGTATGTTGATTAAGCATGGTTTTTTTTTTTTTTTTGCCGTGTTTCTAGAGTATAATTTCATTTCGATATCCAAGATCCTTCCCTTAATGAACTTTGCTGCAATCGTTTTGTGCGGGGGCCTCTATGGAAAAGGGTGATACGACCGGTGGAATTCCGTCCAGCAGACGCCTTTTAAAGGTATCCGCAAAGACAGTCAATTTCTTACGTGCTTTTTCGCCTTCGTGCCTCGTTTCTCGAGTATAATTTCATTTCGATATCGAAGATCCTTGCCTTTATAAACTTCGCTGCAATCGTTTTGCATGGGAGCCTCTATGGAAAGGGGTGAACGACCTGTGGAATTTCGTCCAGTGGCACACGACTTTTAGCGGTATCCGCAAAGACAATCAAATTCTTACGCGCTTTTGCGGCTTCGTGGGACTCAGACGTGCAGCATCTGCTCTTTGAGCGGTAAGGTTTCCACCGGCCCACCGCAAAGGAGCGTTAGCTGTAGTGTGAGAATCTGTTAGATTTCAGATAGGTTGCTGGTCATATAGCTAGCCTCTGAGGATCCGACTCGTTGTAATCAGCGACTCCAAATATTCAACGTCATGACAACGGAATTACAAGGTCAGCGACCTTTCAATGCTGGTCCTCGCCGGTGCTATTACTATGCTATTAAATGAGAGAAATTTTAATAGCACTTGTTTTGATCCTGCAGGAGGAGGAAATCCTGTTTTATTTCAACATCGGTGTTGGTTCTTTGGTCGTGATGGCCCAAAGCTGGCATCAAGACAGTTATTCATTAACTGATCGTGTTGATGGTGGGTTTCTAAAGCAGATGGTTCGTTGAGATGTCATGTCACGGGATGTTCCATCGAGTTGAGCAAGACAACTGGTTGGACATTCCATTAACTGAAATCATGTACACCTTCATCGATGAATTATTGTTAGGTTATTGCTTGCTTCAGTGCTATTGTCAATGTGTTCCTTCAAGGGCTTTATTTGTCCAGAAGTTGGGTCCTGCAGTGCATCTCCATGCTTTGAGTCAATGACTGCAGTGCACTCTGTGTGTGTGTGTGTGTGTGTGTGTGTGTGTGTGTGTGTG